TTTCCACTGTGGCCAGAGAGCATATTTCGTACGACTATAATCCTTTTAAATTATCAAGTCTTGTTTTATGACCTAGAAGCCAGTCTTTCTCAGTAAACGTTCTGGTGTATCCTGCTGTTGTTGGCTGGACTGTTCTATAAATATCAGTAAAGTTAAGTTGGTTGTGTTGTTCATGTCTGCTCTACGCTTTCTGATTTTCTATGTACTCGTTCTGTCAGCCACTGAAATTTCCACCTAAAATTACAGATCTGTCTATGTTTCCTGCACTTACTTAGATCAGTCTCTGCTTTGTGTGTTTTGAAGCTGGGATTAAGTGCATAGAAGAACAAAGCTGGGAACCTGATTCCAGAACTTATTACAAAGCTGTGCTCGCCAAAACAGTAAAGCATTGGCATAAAAACTGTTACAAACATTTAAAAAAAAAACCTGTGCAGAAATATAACCACATCTGTATGGCCAAGTGGTTTTCCACAAAGGTGTCAAGCAATTCATTTGGGGGAAAAAAATAATCTTTTCGAAATGATGTTGGAACAACTGGATAGCAACATGCAAAAAAGTAAGCCAACCCTTACCACATGTATACAAAAATTAATTTGAAATGGATCAGAGACCTAAATGTAAGGGCTAAAGCTATGAAACTTCTAAATTACAACATAAGAGAAAATCTTAGTGATCTGAGTTGGGCAAAAATTCCTTAAATAGAACACAAAAAGCACAACCTATAAAATTTAAAAAATAATGGATAAATGGGGTCTCATCAAAATTTAAAATGCTGGCTCTTCAAAAGACATTCCTAAGAAAATAAAAAGCAAGCCACAGACTGGGAGAAAATGCTTGCAAAATATATGTATGATAAAGCACCTTTATCTAGAATATATCTAACTTATATAACTCATTAAAGAGAAGACAACTCAATTTTTAAAAACTGACAGAAGATTTGAACCAACACTTCACCGATGACTACCTACAAATAGCAAATAATGTAAAAATGCTCCATATCACTTGTGTTTAGGGAAATGCAAATTAAAAATATGGAAAGATGCCACTACACACACAGAGTAGAATGGCTAATACTAAAACAACTGATAACACAAGTGTTGGCAAGGATGTGGTGTCACTGAACTCTCAAACATGGCCGATGGGCTACCAAACTGGAACAACCACTCTGGAAAAGTTTGCTGGCATCAGGTTAAACATACACTTACCATATGACCGAGGATTCGTCTCTGAGGTATCTACCCAAGAGAAATGAAAACATATAGACACACAAATGTGCTCCTAAATGTTCAGAGCAGCCTTAAAAAAATTACAAGTTCTGAACTGGAAATAGCCCAAATGTCTATCATCTGGTGAATGGATAACCAGATTGTGATAAATCTTTACAATAGAATACTACTCAGCAATAAAAGGAACAAACTATTGATATATGCAAGAACAAAGATGAATCTCAAAAGTACCATCTTGAGTGGAAAAAAAAAAAAGACATAAAAGTCTACAACTGTATGATTCCAGAAATTCTAGAAAAGGCGAAAGTATAGCGATAGAAGGCCGATTAGTCTTGGCCATAAGGGGGAACTGATAGCAAAGGGGCAGGAGGAACGTTATAGGGTGATGGAAATGTTCTCTAACTTGATTGTGGGAATGATCACATGACTATCTGTTGCAATGAGTCAAAACTCATCAAATTATACACTTAAAATCAGTTAATATTATATGCAAATTATACCTCATAGAAGTTGACATAAAAATATTTTATTTGAAACATTTAACTGTGTCTTTTGAACTTTCTTTTACAAATTGTTTTAAATTCTTTTTGAAAAGATTTTATTTATTTATTTATTTGTCTGAGAGAGAGAGAGAGGATAGTGTGAGTGGGGGAGGAGCAGAGGGAGAGGGGCCAGCAGACTCTGCACTGAGCGCAGAGCCCAACGCGGGGCTCGATCCCATGACCTGAGATCATGACCTGAAACAAAATCGAGTCGGACGCTTAACCGACTGAGCCTCCTAGACGCCCCCAAACTGTTTTGAATTTTGAAGTTTATGTTACACATAAAGGTATACAAATCATAAGGGTCTTATCACACACTCAGTAGTGAGTAACACCAAGCAAGCACCCATGTAAATGCTCCCCAGAGAAAGAACACTGTGAACACCCAGAAGGCCCATTCACTCCTTCTTTTTGAAAGTTCACTATTATCTAGTCTTGTAAAAGTAGAATATTGCTTTTTTTTAAACTCTCACCTCAAGAAAACTGTGTAGTATAGAGTTAACCTTATCCAAAAAGAGGTCTGGCCTTTGCCTTAGCCTCCTGGAAGCTGATCTCTAAGCCCTTGCAATACCCTGCCTGATAAATATCTGCTTACCTGGGGGCCCTGGGCCCAGTGGTTATCAGCCTGACCTCCAGAGGAGCTAGCGATTAAAGGTCAGCAGCAGGTGTGGTCAACCCTGTCCGTGGAAGTTAGGCCCTCACTGAACACCGAGCCTCCGGGGCACCTCCCTGGGTGGCAAGACTCCAGGTGTATTGTCATATATCTTGCTGGGAGAAGTCAGCTCTGTCCAAATCCCACTGGAAGTGGACGACTGGAAATTCCATGCGAGTAATGCTCGTGCACTTGGCACCATGCACCTCTTCCCCTGGCTGACTTTAATCTGTATCCTTTTGCTATAATAAACTATGGTCATGAGTATATCAGTCTCTGAGTTCTGTGAGCATTTCTAGGAAATTATCAAACCCGAGGGTGCTGGTGGGAGCCCCTCCAAACTGGCAGTTGGAGCCAGAAGCGAAGGTGGTTCTTAAGAGACACATCTGAACTCTGCAGGAGTCGTATGGTTATTACGTCTTTGACGCAGCATTATGTGTCTGAGATCCACTCATAAAGAACCTTGTAAGGACAGTTTATTCACTGTCGTCACCCATGCAGTAACAATGAATTGACCATTATTTACTCACTCTACTGCGGATGGACATTTCGATTTTTTCCAGTTTTGCCTTGTCATTGACAGACCTAAAAGGACAAATAGAGAAATCCACAATCATAGCGGGAAATTTTGATTCATCTGTTGCACCTGAGAAGAACAAAGCAGATAAAAAAAAATCAGTAAAAACATAGGTTTTGATTATACAATTAACAAATTAGATTTGACATCACTTAATACCTAAAACTCCTGTGGGCTTTCTTTGGGAGTAACGGTAATAAAGCATTTTCCCCAAATGCTTACTATATTTTTGTACCAGCTCTTTATTATTTCAGCTAATTTCATAACAAATCTTTCAACTTTACAGCTGAGACACTGAAGCATGGAAAAGTTGGGGAATTTGTCCAAAGTCCCAGAGCTAAAAAAACAGCAGATCAAGAGTTCAACTTCAAATCTGATCCAAGAGCCAAGTTCTGAACTCTTATGCTGTTTTCTACCTCTTCTCGAGGTAATGTTGGTTTTTGCGTCTTCCTTGGAAATCATCGATTCCATCCAGAGTTTAAAAATGTATTAGCGGGGCGCCTGGGTGGCTCAGTCGGTTAAGTGGCTGCCTTCAGTTCAGGTCATGATCCTGGGGTCCTGGGATCGAGCCCCACGTCCGGCTCCCTGCTCAGTGGAGAGCCTGCCTCTCCCTCTCCCTCTGCCTGCCACTCTGCCTACTTGTGCTCTTTATCTCTCTGTCAAATAAATAAATAAAATCTTTTAAAAATAAATAAATAAATAAAAATGTATTAGCATGAGCTGAACTTCAAATTGCGATATGAAGTCTAGAATTTCTATCAGATTAAAACTGCTTTTTAGCCGTCTATTTTTCCTTTCCATATCATGAACCTTATAAACTCATCTGGAGGGAACAATTATAATCTTGTAGTGAAATTCCATGACAAAAATAATCATTGTCTCACCTAAGACCTATTGATCACCACCAGTTTCTGGAAGCTTGATGCTTGAAAATAAACATCACTAACACTAACAAGAGATACAATTGTCTGGACATCATCATTCATGGAAAGCAATTTTTCTTGAAGTTGTCTTAAGCATTACGACTATAAAGCAACATACGCCGGCAGTAAAGTAGTCAAAAAAAAAAAGTCCTTTCCTTTCTGCGTGATCGTTTTGACCTATGGTCAACTTTCTACCTTTGTTCCTCCTGGAAACTTGACCTAAATGGTAAGTTAACTGAGTCACTATGACATAGTTGTGGGTAAAGACTGCTGATTGCACCCAGACTAGAACAAACTATGAATGGACCAGAAATACCCAATAGTGACACCATAGCTTTGGCTCTATGGGCATAATTAGGTCTGACTGACAAGCCTAACTTTTGCTATTTAAACAAAGGAGTTACAAGAGCATATTGGGGTTGCCTTTAGCACCTAACTCAATGCATTAGAGGTACCAATTAATTCTTGGTAATAACTACAGTCAGGATTAGTGGTTATCTCAGCCCTTTAAAAATAACTCTTTTGGGCACCTGGGTGGCTCAGTTGGTTAAGCGACTGCCTTCGGCTCAGGTCATGATCCTGGAGTCCCGGGATTGAGTCCCACATCAAGTTCCCTGCTCAGCAGGGAGTCTGTTTCTCCCTCTGACCCTCTCCCCTCTCATGCTCTCTCTCTCGCAAATAAATAAATAAAATCTTTAAAAATAAATAAATAAAAATAACTCTTGTTCTCAGGTGCATGCTCCCACTCTCATCTTACTTTCCCCCATGTCTAGCACACAGTGTCTGTTTATTGGCTTATTGTCTGTCCTCCTTCTACCACGAAGTTCCAGAAGGGCAAGAGCTTTTATTCTTATTCACTGCTCCACTCCCAGGCCCTACAATAGTAACTGATACATAGTAGGGGTTCGATGAGGATTTGTTGGATGAAGCTCTTACTAAGGTGTAGCTATGATCTGATGGACTAAAATCTTACTGGGCACCTACTATGTGTCAAGCCCTGTGTTAGTAAGGTGAGGGGACAGAGTGGTTATCAACTGTGATTTTACAGCGTCAATAATGAGATAAAACTTCAGACAGTTCTCTACTGACCAAGAATACTTTCTTTATTAAAATGTTGTACGATTACATCATTAAGATTCTACGTGACTTAGCTCAATTAGTAACATGCACAGCAGAAGTTTATCTTCCACGTGCTGTATTCCTGCCCCAGGATCCCAAATACTTCACAGACTACTTCACTCACTTCTACAAACTGGCCCTGTTCCTCCCCATTCAGGAGAAGCCTACATTTATGGATAAAATGAGGTCAGCCATAGTAGTAGACTGGATTTGTCCTAACCAATCTCTGCTCCCGAATTTCTCTCAGGCATGCCCCTTTGGTACTTTTCCACGAGATTTCTCTTTAACGAAAAAGACAGTAAGTTTAGTCTCCTTTCAAGGACCAAGCTGAGCCTCTCTTCCCTGCATCTATGCTCACGGCGACAGTCAGACCTTCTGAAGAACCACACACCAGTTGCCCTGATCATAGTAGCTCTGCAGCACGCGTACGTGACTCAGGGTCCGGCAGGCCTCCTCCAGCTCGCCTGCACAGAACACGTGGTAGTAACGATGAAATACGGGGCCTGGGGCACGGGATTCTGTTGCACCGACAGGCTCGTCTCTCCCAGGGTTCCCCTTACGGTGCCAGGGAACCAGTAAGTCTTGAGAACGAAAAGAAGTCCTGTTAGTGTGAACAGGCAGCTTGGCATCAGTGACTTTGCTGGCACTACCCCCTCCCGCCCGGACGTCAGTAGCAGCGGAGACTCGACACGGGGCGTCCTGGTCGCCCGCGTCAGGCACCTGCTCCCCCAGTGACTCTGGCTCCGCTGCGTCGCTGTGGATCTCCTCTTCCTTTCCTTGGCGAAGTCTGTTTTCTCTAAGGTACTTGGATTTCTTCTTCTTATATTCCTGTTCCATCGCCCAGACGTAAATGAGTGCCATCCCCCCAGGTCTCAGGAGTCGAACAAGTTCTTGGAGAGCCGCCACTCTACGCTCCTAGTAAAAAAAAAATGTTGCCCTTTATCAACCGAGAGGAGACACAGCAAACAGGAAAGTATAACTGACAAAAGTATCACTGATTTTTTTTTTAAAGATTTTATTTATTTACTTGACAGAGAGACACAGTGAGAGAGGGAACACAAGCAGGGGGAGTGGGAGAGGGAGAAGCAGGCTTTCCGCTGAGAGCAGGGAGCCCGATGCGGGGCTCGATCCCAAGACCCTGGGACCATGACCTGAGCCGAAGGGAGATGCTTAACCGACTGAGCCACCCAGGCGCCCAGTATCACTGGTTTTAATTAAGTTGAACAGCCCAGAAAATCTAACAAAATATAAAACAAAAAAAAAAAAAGGGAAATTTTGTTCTGTGATTGAGGGGGATAAAAGTGTTGAAGAAACAGGGAAAGGGACATTTCTATTTGTGCTAATAAAATAGAGGCACAGAGCGTTTTTCGACTTGATTTTGTTTTGAATTCACATAAGGTCGTCGGGTGTACGGAGACTCCTGGTGCTGTCAGCACAGGGTGACCTATAAAATTACTGCTTACATTAGGGGAGAAACCAGTGACAAACAGGAAAAATAAGCTGTTTTTTCTTATAAGAAAAATATAAAACGGGCGCCTGGGTGGCTCAGTTGGTTGGGCGACTGCCTTCGGCTCAGGTCATGATCCTGGAGTCCCGGGATCGAGTCCCGCATCGGGCTCCCTGCTGAGAAGGGAGTCTGCTTCTCCCTCTGACCCTTCCCCCTCTCATGTGCTCTCTCTCTCATTCTCTCTCTCTCAAATAAATAAATAAAATCTTTAAAAAAATAAAAAATAAAAAAAAATCTTTAAAAAACAACAAAAAAAAAGAAAAAAGAAAACATTAAATTGACTTATTTTAAAATTAGGACCATCTAAGACGAATTAAAAGCATGAGTGACAGACTACTACCAGCAAGTTCTGAAAAAAGAAGAAAAGCAGGATGGGAAGGAAGGGATTCGCAAACGTCAGGGAGGCGAGTTAGGGCTGAGAAGGCAGATGAGAAAGCGAGGCTGAGAGAGGGCAGCGGCCCAGGGCCGGCGAGCTCCCCCATCTCTGGCGGTTGAAATGCGGAGACCCTGGATTCGGGGAAGCCAGTCGGAGATGGGGTGGACGCAGGCCAGGCCCGGGCAGAGCCACGCGGCACTGCAAGCACCATGCACCTGGCCTCCCACAAGCGCCAGCGCCATGCACCTCCTCCCCGCTCCCCACGCCGATCGAGGACTGGGGCAAATGGCAGGGTCCCCAGGGGGAGAGCGGGAAGAAAGGAAAAGCTACGCTCATGTCCACAGCGGCCACATCCGTGAGCGTTCCCTGCCACCGAGCTCCAAGTCCCTGGAGAGAGGGCAGTACTCACAGCCGTCGAGAGATGGTGAGTCACAGCAATAGAGATGCAGGCGTCCCAAGAGCCGCTGCGCAAGGGCACGGCCAGGGCGTCACCGACAAGCGCCTCCAAGTGCCGCTCTCGACAGATGCCCACGAGGTTCTGGCTTCGATCACAACCAACCTATAACAGAGAAAAAGCTCATTCAAATGTCCTGAGAAATGAAGAGCCACGGGTGTATTCACTACCACACGTGACTCGACAGACTTCACATTCACTGTGAAACGGTGGAAGGCCGTGATTGGCGCCAAGTCCGACCAGGTACCTCTCCACGGGTGTCAAACTGAACTCAAACCAGCGAACGGAGACACAAGGATTAAAGATGACAGACGGGAAATGGGAAGTCCTAACTGGCATCTATACATCACCGAGCAGAATCTACATCTTTTTATAATATCACACATATAAAAATGGAAATTATCCCATAAACACAGACATTTAGTCTTTTGTGGGGGGCTCCAGGTGTCACTCAACACGACAAACTATACTGTGATGGCCCAGATAGCAGGAGGACGGCTGGGGGCTCTGCTTGCTTCTTCTTACTTTTCAGAACATATTACTGTACAATCAGAAAATAAAATCCCCAAACTATAAAAAACTAAAACGATTTATTTCGTTTTTTTAAAGCTTTTGAGTCATTGTTCTGCTAAATACCTAACCTATATATATATATATATATATATATACACATATATATATCAAGAATAAAGTGCTGAATTCAACACTTGCAAAATGCTATTTAATTAAACCTTTTAGTGTAAGCCGACCACCTGAAGGGAACAGCAGCATCCCCTAGTTTGCCCAGGCAGGGAGGCCTCCCGTGCCCTCCACAGGGACCTGGTTCTATGGGACGTGTTTGGGAGCAGGAATGCCTGTCTCCTCTCAAGCTCTGTCATTTTTGTACACAGTTCTGCTGTTTAGTCCTAAGAGTACACACGTATGTGTGCGTGTGGAGGACAATGTGCACAGGTAAACTGAGGGAGCACTGGAAGGGGGAAGGGGCATAAGAAATGTTAAATCACTAATTAATAACTATCCCCAGATAGTTCTTCCTAACTCACTCTCTACAATAGAGAAAAAGAAACGTGAAAGTAGATTTCAGCAGATCGAAGCGGCCACCTCAAGCTTGTATTTACTCATTTGAATTTTAGATGCAGTGAGCACTGATTATTAGGGTTACCTCAGTCTATCTGAGAATAAAGAATAGGAGTCCTCATGTCAAAAGAAGTCTTACTAAGTTAAATCATACTGCCATGCTAGTCATACTTAATACGAATTTGCTCAATTTCTAATTGGTATTAAACAGCTTCTATCTCTATCTTAGAGCTGCATTAATCTTTAAGTAATAAAAGGCACCGAGCTAGAGGTGAGGTATGGCAATGTCCCTTTGATATATTTTAAGATGAGGAAGTACAAAGGGCCCGTTAATAACAACAGTGGCACAATTCCCAACTGACTGCCGTCTTTACCCACAAAGGATACATAACTGGATTATTACTTTTATTTCTTTTCCTCCATATTCTGTGCCCCTGAGCCAGCAGCTACAGTATCAAGCTGACAATACCACTCAAATAATACGTGTATTACATTGCGGGGCTTGCCACCTTTTTTTACAATAAAATTCAGTTCATGGAGTCAGAAGTCTCAAGTCTGTCCAATTCTGACAGACTGCTACAAATCTTGCTAAAAGTCAGCAGGAAAAAAATCCAACTTTACTACAAAACAATACCAGGAGAGCTCAACCAAGAAGGAAAGTTATTACCCGAGAACTACAGATAAAGCAGAGCAAGGAGAAGAGGAGCCAAACCAAACCGGAGGAGATGTCCTTCCTCCAGATGCCCATCGGTACGGAGGGCAGTCTGACTCACAAAGCAGCAGGTCTAGTGTAGACAGGACTCGCGCCTGGCGCGTGACCTTCATCCTGCACTGATTCTGCCCAAGTCTTATATACACTCTCGTCCAATCATCACTTATTTTCTCTTCCCTTTCTATTCTTAAATTTCCTTAAGTCTTTGTACCAAGGACAGTACCCAGGATTTGAAGGTCTCCCTAATCATGATGCATAATGTCAAAAGTGTGACAGAAAGTGGCTTATTTGTAAATACGATTTATAAACACTCACATTTATTAAAGGACTCACGTAAGGCTATGAAATTCTGTGTGCTGGATGGAAGTCAGTGACATGAAAACACACACTGGTTGGGCTTGAAATGTATACTTACACTCCTTTATAATTTTTTAAAATCTTCAACAAAACATTAAACACGCAATTCTGGGAAGACTGGTAAAAAATGAAAAACATTCGACCTAGTAGTCAAAGGTGCAAACTACAAAACCAGGTTTCATTTTTCTCCCAGTGAAGTATCGAAAATATATATATTTTTAAAGATTTTATTTATTTGACAGAGAGAGACACAGCGAGAGAGGGAACACGAGCAGGGGGAGTGGGAGAGGGAGAAGCAGGCTTCCAGAAGAGCAGGGAGCCCGATGCGGGGCTCCATCCCAGGACCCCAGGATCATGACCTGAGCCGAAGGCAGACGCTTAACGACTGAGCCACCCAGGCGCCCCATTGAAAATATTTTAAAATCAAAATACGCCACGGGGATGGCAGCAATAAAACCAGCTCTCCAAAGCACTAGGACGGTACAAATGGACTCCACCAGTTTTCAAAAGCCATCTGGTGCACCACTTTTTAAGGAGGATAAAAATGTTCACAACTTTTTTTTTTTTTTTAAGTAGGCTCCACGTCCAGCGCGGAGTCTAATGCGGGGCCTGAACTCATGACCCTGAGATCAAGAGTCAGATGCTCAACCAAATAAGCCACCCAGGAGCCCCAAAAATGTGCATAACTTTTGACCCAATAATTGCTCTTGTAAAAATTCATCCTAAAAAAAAATTATCCAAAATATGAAAAAAGCTAAATGAGCTAAAAACAAAACAAAACAAAACAAAACTGCCTTTTACTGGCGCAGCCACCAGATATGACCACAGATTCTCTGTATTAATTACCTCAACCCTGGACACACACCCTGAGTTAGCTACTGTTACTACACTGCAAATGAGGGACACTTGTCTCACCACAGGTAAGTCATCTGCCCCAAGTTAAAATAGTCAAGTGGTGGAGCACACATTGAAACCTGGGCTTTTCTCGCTCTAAACCCCACATTCTTCCTTCCCGTCAGACTGTTTCTCAGGGGAGATGCTCGTTACCGTATTATTTATAATAACTCCACACTGAACATGAGGAACCATCAAGAGTGTTATTAAGTCCAGGAACTGACATATTTCCATCAACATGGAAACATGAAATGATACAAATGAGTCATCAAGGTGCATGCATATTCGGGACAATACAAACATTACAGGAAAAACATGGGAAGGACATCTCCCACAAGACACTGCTTTATTAGGGTGTTAAGATTACAGGCAAACACCTTTCCTTTTGTCCATTTTCTGAATTGCAGCTGTATTATTATTACTTAAAAAATACCACATTTTTTAAGCTACTAAGGAAACAAGCACTATAGGGAGATGAGACTGGCAGTAAGGGGTTCAGAGCGCAAGGGAAAAGGCAGAGCCCGTCAACTACAGTGAAAACAGCAACCTCAAGTCCCGAGCTGAACTAGCTGAACAACCTAGGAAAGCCACTTAACTTCTGTTTCCTCGTCATGAAAATGCCTACTTCTCGGGGATGAGAACCAAATAAATGATGTGTATTAAACACTTCACTCCGCAAATGTTATTGCGACTGCATGGAACAAAGGCTGGACACAACCTCTCATCCTGGTAGTATTTCAAAAATACATTTTGTTAAGGAAGCATGTAATAATAATATAAACTTGTTTTTTAATTCTAAGACAATCCTAGGTGTGAATACCTAGAATGAATGTCCCAGGTCACATTCCCTCATGAATATCAAAAAATGCACGTATTTTCAGGCTCAAAGACAGCTGCTGAAAATACACTCAAACATACAGGTTGGAGCTTCGGCAGCTTCCTCCGACCATATGTGACTCCATTTCTGGTATAATGACAACTGTAACTCCAGCCGGACAAGGCATCTTCATTCCTGCATCGAACCAAAACCTACTGAGCCTTCCCGAGAGGTCAGACTGCGAATCACAAACTGCCAACCATAAAATGAATATAAATAGTGGAAAATGACTATACTTGTGATTTTCTAATTCTTTTAAATGTATTCCTTCTTGAACAGATTCAGATATTTGGGCTCAGTTTACCAGGAAATCATGTTTCTCAATTTTAACAGGATAACGCAATCAGTAGGACTACGTCCGCGTGGTTGGCCTCCACCTCGCTTCGCTGCCATGGGTGCTGCCTGACTCCGTAAAGCTGTGGGTTAGCATCCAGAAGGTGTGAGAGCAGAGCTCACTGAGAGACGTTTTGGCCAATACCTTAAGACTAAAATATCAGCAGATACCACTTTGATTTTAAGTGGCACATCAAAACCTACTTCTTCTTCCACATGAACAAACCTAACTCATTAGACCTTATTCTTGATAAACTAAAATTTAACTGTAAACATGATGACAATACATGGATACTAATATCTTAACTTGATGAAAAGCTATGCTTTTATGTTTCTCTTAATGCATGAACCCTGCCTTTCCTCAAGTGCAGCATAACTTACTTTCCTCATGCAGGTGCGTGCTATCGAGGCGGAGGTACAGATACAGATGATGCGCCGCATGACGTCCTCCAGGAGCCTGGGAGTGTGGACTGCTCTCGCTGCCCCTACCTGCCCTCCTTACTCTAGTCCTCCTGCCCCTAATTTTGAGAAAGGGAAGTTTCAGTCCTCCCAAGAGCAGCGCTGATATGGGTATTTACAATAATGCACCAGTGTAGGGAGAGTGTTCTCCTTCCCAGCACAGCAGGAAAAAAGGTGAACCGCAGGAAAGGAAATCATAGCAACTGGAAACACATTTGGCACGATAAAGTAGTGGGTTCAGACCCTGGGCCTCACGCTGTAACCTCGGTCACTTGGTTTAAGCTACTTAAGCCCTAGTTTCCTGAACAGTAAGACACCAATAAACAGTAACTTTTATTTTTTCCTACTGTGAATAAAAGAACACTATATTTGGCATCAGAGGCATGGGTTCAAGTTTCAGTTATGTCCCCTAATTATATGACATCGGGATAGTAATACAGTCTGTGAGTCTCGGTTGCTTCATTTATAAGAGAGAGATGAAAATATCAGCTTTAACTTTCTCATACTTAGGAGGATCTAAGCAAAGAAAGTGGCTTCTCTAAACATCCTTTCTGACATGTAAAGAGTTTAATAAATGTAAGACGGTTTTACTGATAAAATAAGCACAATCTAAAGGGAAGGGGAAAAAACCACACACATATACTACAAATAATGGTATGCACGCCCACAAATTCTCAGCGGAATAAAAAAGAATAGGAGTGCTCATTAATTTTCCATCTGTTGGTTATAACTTTTATAATGACCTTTTAAAAAACAGCATTATACCATAAGGCAGAAGGTGACAATAACCTAACAAATAAAGCCAAAAGAGAGCCAGAAGCAACAATGACTTGCCATATATAACTCCTTATTGATGCCAAGATACTTTCCGTTTCCACAGCCAACGTCGGCCACTAACGAACCACTTGGCAAAGCTTTCAAGAAGTCCACGACGCGCGGCCATGGGGTGTGTCTCGTGCTGCTGAAGTGCTCAGCAATCTCTTCATAGACTCGATGGACGTATTCTCGCTCCAGCTGTGAGGCTTCTCTGGCACTCTCTGGAAATGATGGGGGGGTCTCCTTCATCTGGCTGTCACAGACCAAAGGGTAACCTAATGAAAAATAAGGCAATATAAACCATTTATTTTTATCCAAGTGATTCATAAGGTATCATGTTTTCTTAAAAGAACAAGCAAATCAATGCAAATTTGGTGGCTAGGGATGAGCAGGCTCTGATTATCAGTTTAAAAATAGCTCTTGCCTAACAAGTCCAAGTACATGTGTGAGGGGTCTAAATGAAAAAAAGGGGAAAAATCCATCTGCAACAAGACATGAACTGCAATTCTGCAAGTCCGATAATGCAGATGCCTAGTTCATCCTGGGATTAAGGGTCCTTTTATTTAGGAAAGCATCTTGATGGGCCTGGCCTAACCAGAAGAAATTTAGTTGAATTAACAGGAGTTAGGAGTTTTCTCTTGGTGAGCAAAGGAAACAGGAGTTCTGGGGCCCTAGCACTCTTGGAAAAACAAGACCTAGGAGACAGTGTCATTTGGTTATGATCACAAGCATTTAATGAACACTACTGAGGAGTTTATACGGATGGTCTCAATTCTCACAGTAACATCTTGAGATGGTACTACTGCGTCCATTTTACAGATGAGGACATGAAGCACAGAATGCCAAGTGACGATCCTGAAGTGACAAAGACGGTAAGTCTCAGAGCCAGGGCTTGCACCCAGCCAGTGGGGACTCGAGAGCCCATGATCTCAGTGCCTACAGGCATCACCTCCTCCAACAGAATCAGCACACCCTGAGGAGAACACCATCAAGTCAAGGAGATGACAAAGGAAGTTGAGGAGACACTGCTATCCTAATTAACATCCTAATTAAATGAATTCTGAAGCTGTTCCCTGTTCCCTGCAACCATGTCTAACACTCCTTTTAAATCCTTGCCTGTTCCCTGCTATGCTACGCCTGTTCTCCGGCCGAAGTCTAGGAGACGCATCTTTTTACTGCAGGAACTACAGGAGGAAGGAGCGGTGTTCCAGAGAAGCCACAGTGAGGACAGAGGCAATAATGAGAAATCATGTGGCAGCTCAGAAGTGGGCTGCAGCGTTCACAGCTTTGGGAATTCTCCCTAACTCTCATCAGAGGGTGCCGAACCTTGAGAAAGGGGTGGGAGACAGCCAGTCTCTGCTACTGTGTGAAGGGCAGCTCTAAACATTTCATGCGGACATTTAAGAAAGCCCGATGGCTCTAACACGTGCAGGTTGACAACAGACGGGTTACCTTGTATCTTGGGCACATCAGGATTACACTACCACATACACTACAATGACCCTAAACCGGCCCTCTTAGAAATTATAAACAGCTAAGTAATCTAGAGAGGCAACCCTTCTCCTTAAAAAGTCACAAATTTTGACCAAAAGTATCCAAAAAGATGACCTTGAACGTGAAAAGCATTTGTAAACTGAATATACATTCAGAGCTGCTATAATATGCCTTACATTCAATTAACATCTGCAACAAAGAAACCTCTGTAGAAGAAAACTAGGTTGTCTCTCCAACTAGACCTCAGGTTCCTCGAGAACAGGAGTCGTGCTGTAGTTTTCATTATCTTGTAAAACTACAGTGTCAGACACTCAACAAATACAAAATACACTTTTTTTAACTGATAAAAAAATTTGATGTTTCAAGGCCCCGATGACACTTTTAGCAAAAGAAACAAAAGTCTGCTTTAAGCTTCACTAACATCAATATATCAGATTCAGCAAAAAAAAAGATATCAAATATAGCTATTTCAAGTTTAACAACAGATACTATTTACAAAATGAAAGATTTTTATTCAATGAGTCCAAGAAATACAGGTTATGATGTACTTTGTATAGACAATTCAAAATAACATCCTCTTGACAAGTTTTTGAGCATTTCTCTTATTCCCTCCTAGATTCCCAAATTGACCAAAACACAAACCACTGTTTACCCCCTAGAGATATCTACTTACTATGCAGCAATTGGTTCATCCCTAACTTCGTTAGGTTAATGAGAAGTAACTGAGAAACTTGACAAGCTGTTTCCAATAGAACCTGTTTTTGTACAAATGATATTTTAACGTCCTATAATTTTATTTAGCACTCTTTACTGTGACTTCAATTTGAAAAAATGTTCATTTGGCATCCAACTATGCCTAAGTACTGTACTTGGGAAAATAGAGATGAGTCAAATGCAGTCCCTGCTTTCAAGGAATATAAACTCAATGGGGGCGGTTAAGAAAAATCTCCATTAAGTACAACACTACGCCAGGGTATGAGAAATGCCATTAGGGTTAAGACAAAGCTCTCCTTGGTTCTGATGGGACTTCAAAAGACTTTTTACACTAGATTTACTCCATTTTACAGTGGAACCAGAATTACATACTTACTACAATTACAAGGTGTTTGCCTCACTTTCCTAAATGTAAATGATGTCCTTATTCCCCTCTTGCTTAAAGTTAAGTCTCCAACATCACTGGTGATAATCCCACTTCTGTGACCCTTGGATGCTTGAACAGTATCAAATTTTCTGGGTGTGATTCTAAAAACGACAGTCAAAATAATTTATTTAATACTGTATTCAAAACAATATTTCATGTCCTTTTAAAAATATCAAGGGAACAAAGCAAATTTAGAAGAATTTATGCCAAATATCTACCGGATTCCCCAAACTGTTAAGCAATTTAGAAACAGAAGTCTCTCTTTTTTAAGAAGCTATCTTCAAGGTAATCATATTAAAAGAATGTACACTAATAAATTATTCAAAAATACAAATAGAATAACAAATATTTAATTTTTTTTAAGATTTTAAGTAATCTCTACACCCAATGTGGGGCTTGAACTCACAACCCCAAGATCAAGAGCGGCATGCTCCTCTGACTGAGCCAGCCAGGCGCCCACAAATATTTAATTAATACAATTCTGAGAAAAAAAAAAAAAAATAAGGAACAGATGGAGCAAAGAGGAAACACATAAACAGTAAACTTAAATCCAATCAATAATTACGTGAAATGTAAAAAGACTACAACGTCCAATTAAAGAAAAAAGAATGTCAGAATGGCTTAAAAAAATAAAGTCCAATTATACGCTGATTACAAGAGATACCCACCTTAAAATAAGGACATAGAATGGCTGGAAATCAAGATAGAAAAAAAGATGCAGGGGCACCTGAGTGGCTCAGTCAGTTGAGCGTCTGCCTTTGGCTCAGGTCATGACCTGAGATCCTGGGACAGAGCCCTGCGTCAGGCTCCCTGCTCGATGGGGAGCCTGCTCCTCCCTCTCCTCCCCGCTGTGCTCTCTCTCGCTATCTCTGGCACTATCTCTGTCTCTCTCTCTCTCAAATAAAATCTTAAAAAAAAAAAGATAATACAGAAATAAGTATTTTATATATTCCAAGCAAAACCAAAAGAAAAATGGTATAGCTATCCTAATCAAAGTAGGCTTCAAAGGAATAAATATTACTAAATTAAAAGGGACATTTCTTTTTTTATTTTATTTATTCATTTTTTTTTTTATGTAGGCTCCACACCCAGCGTGGAGCCAATCGTGGGGCTTGAACTCATGACCCTAAGATCAAGAGTCCGATGCCTAACCAACTGAGCCACTCAGGCACCCCGAAAAGGGACATTTCATAATAACAACAGTGTCAACAGAACAGGAATATATAAAAACCATGTATATTTGTATGCATCTAACGAATAACACAGCCTCAAAATACATAAAGCAAAAAGTAAACAAAAAATAACAGGAGAAATAGACAAATACATAATTATCACTGTAGCTTTGAATACATCTTTCTTAGTAAGGGAAATCTAGTTGAGGGTCAAGGACATCAACATCAGAAAACAAGATAATGGAACAGTTCCAGGCTGCCTGACATTCTTATACTTGGTATTACCTGAGTTTTTAATTTTAGTCATTTTAGTGAGTGGCAAGTGGTATGAAACGGTGGTGGTTTTTTTCTTTTTTAAGACTTATTTATTTATTTGAGAGACAGTGAGGGTGCATGTCGCACATGCAGGGAGGGGCAGAGGGAGAGAATCTTCAAGCCGACTCCCCACTGAGCCTGCAGCCCTATCTCAGGACCCATGGGATCATGACCTGAGCCAAAACCAACAGTTGGATGCTTTACCGACTGAGCTACCCAGGCGCCCCCGAAACTGTGGTTTTAATTTGCATTTCTCTGATTACTAATGATGCTGTATATTTTTTTGTGTGCTTATTAGCCATTCATTGACACTTTTTTTGGTGAAGGATCTGTTCAAATCTTAAGCCCAAACCTTTGTTAGATATGTGTATTCTGGATATTTTCTCCCCATGTGTGGCACGCCTTTTCATTTTTTTAATGATATTTTTTGACAAGTAAGTTTTTAATTTTGACGCAGTTAATCTTTTTTCTTTTATAGTGTGTTCTAAAATCTTTCTTTAAAAAAGTTTGCCTACCCCAAGTTTGCGAAAATATTCTCTTGTATTTTCTTCTAGATGTTTTACAAGTTTCACTTTTACATTTAAATCTATGTTCTACCGTGGGGCGCCTGGGTGGCTTAGTCAGTTAAGCATCCCACTCTTAATTTTGGCTTAGGTCATGATCTTGGGGTTGTGAGATCAAGCCCCAAGTCGGGCTCCACACTCAGTGGAGAGTCTGCTTGGGATTCTTCTCTTCCTCTCCCTTGCCCTCTGCCCCTCCCCCAGCTTGCTCATGTTCACGCTCTCTCTCAAAATAAATGAATCTCTGAAAAAAATCTACGATCTACCTCATATTACCCTTTGTAAATGGTGTGAGGCAGACACGGACATTCAATTGTTCCAGCATCATCTGTTTATAAATTTCCTTTCCACACTGAATTGCATTGGTGTCTTTGTCAAAACTCAACTGACCTTGAGGTGTCTGGGTGGCTCAGTCAGTTAAGTGTCTGCCTTCAGCTTGGGTCATGATCCCAGGGCCCTGGGATTGAGCCCCGCATCAGGCTCCCTGCTTAGCTGGGAGTCTGCTTCCCCCTCTGCCTGCTGCGCCCACTGCTTGTGCTCTCTCTTCTGTCAAATTAAAAAAAAAAAAAATCAACTGACCTTATATATATGGATATATTCTGCCCCACTGGTCTATCTATCTATACACCAACACTACATTCTTTTCTCTTTTTTTTTCAAGTAGGCTCCACATCCAGCATGGAGCCCAACGTGGAGCCTGAACTCACAACCCTGAGATCAAGACCTGAGCTAAGATCAAGAGTCAGACATTTAACCGACTGAGCCACCTGGGCATCCCATACACTTTTTTGATTATGTAGCCTTAGTAAATTTTAAAAACCAGGCAGAATAAATCCTCCAACACTGTTCTTCTGCTTCAAGACTTTTTTGATTATACTAGATCCTTCACATTTCCCTATAAATTTTAGAATCTGCTCAGCAATTTCTATAAAAAAGTCTTAAGATTTCTAAATGGAATTACACTGAAACAGTAGATCTACTTGGGACAACTGATATCTTAACAATATTAAGTTTCCTCTCCCTGATCTCGGCACCTCTACCTCTTCATTCATTTTCGTCTCCTTTAATTTCTCTCAACAGTGTTTCATGATTTTCAATGTATTATGTGTTGCATACCTTTTGTTAAATTTATTCCTAAGGATTTAAATCTTCTGAGTCTAAGTTTTCTGCTTGATATACCCTAGCTAATTTACCTCCTATAGAGTTGGGTTTTATATTCAGAGGGAATGTGCTAAGCCTAAAAGATCTCAGCAAATTATTAAAAAGCATAATTTTATATTTAAGTTGTTGATTCCTCTTTAGTAGGAGCCAGGTAAGTTTTTCTACACATCTAAAAAAGAGAAAGTTCAACCATATAATTAAAATGGATTTGATCCTAAAGTGAAAAAGGATAATGTATTTCAGTTCTCAATTTTCATTTTGTCATTGTTACACTATTTCTTCAGTCTGTTGTTAGAATCAGAATTCCCAAAAGGCAACAAAAGCAAAAATAAACAAGTGGGACTACATCAAGCTGAAAACCTTTTGTACAGTGAAGGAAATCATCAATAAAAGGAAATGGCCACTTACAGAATGAGAAAAAATATTTTATATTACATATCTGATAAGGGGTTAATACCTAAAACATATAAAGAACTCCTACAACTCAACAGCAAAAAACAAACCATTTAAAAAATGGGCAGAGGATCTGAATAGACATTTTTCCAAAGAAGACATACAGATGGTCAACAGGCACATGAAAATGTGTTCCATATCACTAGTCATCAGGGGAATAGAAATCAAAACCACAATGAGGTATCACCTCATACCTGCTGCAAAGGCTATGATCAAAAAGATAAAAAAATCACAAGTGCTGGCAAGGGTGTAGAGAAAAGGAAACCCCTGGGCACTGCTGGTGCTAACGTCGTTTGTCCAGCCGCTATGGAAAAGAGTATGGAGGTTCCTCAAAAATGAAAGCAGAACTACCCTGTGATCCAGCAGTTCCACTACTGGATCTCTATCCAAAGGAAATAAAAACACTAACTTGAAAAGATATCTGCATGTCATGGTCACCATAGCATCACTTACAACAGCCAAGACATGGAAACAACCTAAGTGCCCATCAATGGATGAATGAAGAAAGACACCGTGGTACCTACATTTTATTTTTTTAAAGATTTTATTTATTTATTTATTTATTTATTTGAGAGAGAGAGAATGAGAGATAGAAAGCACGAGAGGGAAGAGGGTCAGAGGGAGAAGCAGACTCCCCGCGGAGCAGGGAGCCCAATGCGGGACTCGATCCCGGGACTCCAGGATCATGACCTGAGCCGAAGGCAGTCGCTTAACCAACTGAGCCACCCAGGAACCCCTGTGGTATGTATATTTTAAAAAGCATTTTATTTCATTTTCTAAACACTAATTTTTGAATATTGACCTAGTAGGCTACAACCTTGCTATATTCATTTTTTAGTTCTAGCACTTGTTTAGTAGATTTCCTAGGATTTTCTACATCCACAATCATAAAGAGTTTTACTTCTTCCTTTCAAATCCATATGATTTTTATTTCTTTTTCTTGACTTGTTATACTATGTAAAACATCCACTGTAATATTAAGGAGAGGTGGTGAGAGCAGACATCCCTGCCCTGTTGAGTATCTTCGGAAAAGGCATTCACTATTTCACCATTAAATACGAGGTCAGTTATGGGTTTCTCACAGATGCCCTTTATCAGATTGAAGAAGTTTCCTTCTTGTCCTAGTTTGCCAAGTTTTTGTCATGAATGGATGCTGAATTCTGTCAAATACATTTTTTGTATCAATCAAGATGATTTTTTTTTTGCTTTTGTTCTTTTTATGTCATGAATTACACGGTTTGGTTTCAAAATGTTAAGTCAATCTTGCAGTCCTGCAATAAAATCTACTTGGTCATGATGTACTTTCTTTTTTATATATCGTACAACTGGATTTTCTCCTATTTTGCTAGGGATGTTTTTTCACCTCTGTTATGAGAGGTACTGGTCTGTAATTTTCTCTTACTGTAATGTCTTTGACATGTTTGCTGGTCTCATAAAACACGTAAGGAGAGTGGCTCTTTTAAAAGAGCTTGCACCAAAGGCAATTTTTTAGAAGTAAAAAGCAAACAAACATTGCCTGGATTTATGATTGTTACCCTGATAGCAGAAAATGAGTAAAACTATGGTATTAAACAAAGTCAGGATATTTCAGAACAATGAGTATCTTGAAACTCTTATTAGCAAATAAAATTCCCTTTTGAGGACCAAGTAGTTCTCTATCACAGTTCTTTTAAGTCAATTATTTTACTTGCCTAGAATTAAATCTTAGACAAAGGCCAAGCAGTACTTAACAGCTTTTGGCACCAATCTCAGATTTTTAGGAATAGGTAATCCATAGGTTAAGATTAATGAATTCTTTAAACATTACTGAACATCTTTTTTTCCTCCTTACTCAAATTTATGATCTAGTTGAAAAAATATCAAATAAAAAGATAAAAACATTTTTTAGATTTAAATAATAGTTCGATAGAAGAGACATCTCAAGGTAGCAGAAGACAATACAATCTCTAGGAGTTTAAGGGAGAAATTATTTCAGGCTAATGTACCCAGAAAAAGTTTTATATATTATAAAGGACATAAGAGCTGAGCTCTATGTTAAAAACAAAGGAAAAGGAAATTTATTGCACTGAGGGCTGGCGCAAGAGTAAAGGCCAGAGGGCATCGCATAAATCTGGAGGAGAGGGAGCAATCTAGTCCAGCAGGAACGACACAGTTAAGGACACAGATCCTGAGGCCAGACTGCCTGGCTTCTCATCTTGGCTCTGCCACTTAATGGTTTTGTGACTTTGTACAAGTTACATAACCTCTTTATGCTCCAATTTCCTTTAAAAATGGGGACAAAACCACGCAACAAACTTTCCACTGTGACTTGCAGGAGTTAAGTGAGCTAATTGTGTAAAACTTTGAGAACAAGGCCCAGCAGAAAGAAAATGCTCCAAAAGTAATTTAAAAGGAGAGTCAAATAAACTTATAAATAAATGCCTGCCAAGCCAGTCGAATAACCTCAAGGAGGGAAGCACGTGGGTTTGTCTAGAAACACAGTATGCTGCTAAACACATGTGAAGGGTTTCGTTTCAAAACAACAGTGTTGTCTTCCACTTTTCTTAAAACACTTGCCCACTCGTTCCAGCTGCCCATTCGCCACTTGTAATGCAGACAAGATTTACTCCACTGTCAAGCGGCTCTGTGCTGGCACGAACACAACAGTGCGCAAGCAGTGACACACGACAGCTGGTGCTCAGCCTTAGCCTGGGCACCACAGACCGTGGTGGGGACTGCAGAGAGCCTGAGAACGCAGGCCTCACCTACAGAAGGCCGCACACCGTCTCCAATGCCAGGGCCCAGGCCTCCACGGGCCCAGTGCTGTCACACCGCCCAATTTTCAAAAGAGACTGAAGACTCAGATGTTTTAGGTGAAAGCTCCCGATTTTTACATGTAGGCAATTTATAAAAATGCTGTCACAGGGACCACCACTGCCCCCGCCTGACTGCTGGATTTGGCTCAGGTGCTGCCATTTCCGATTTAAGGTACAGCGGCTACAACAGTGAGTCTGAACTAGACTGAAATAAGAGTTTGGAATTAGCCCCACAACTGGCTCCCTGCTCAGCAGAGAGCCTGCTTCTCCCTCTCCCTCTGCCTGCCACTCTGCCTACTTGTGCTCTCTATCGCTGTTAAATAAATGAATAAGAATCTTTAAAAAAGAAAAAAAGGGAGTCTGGAATTAACCATACAGGGCAGTTTATCAATCTTTTTTTTTTTTTTAAAGTAAACTTCACCTCTGATGTGGGGCTCGAACTCACAACCTCAAGATCAAGAGTCACACGTTCCACTGACTGAGCCAACCAGGCGTCCCCACACAATATTCTTTGAACAAGAAAATAATGTGATCGGGGGCAACTGGGTGGCTCGGCCGGTGAAGCGTCTGTCTGCCTCTTAAGTTTAAGTGTACTCTTAAGTTTAAATGTACCGATAGTAAAAATGCTCTATTTTTAATAGAAATTAAAAAACAGAATTATAAAATATTCTCAATTCTAGAAATACCTGAAACCACTGGATTGCCTCACCATTTTCATTTACTGTAAGTGAAAATATCTGAGAGGCCATGGAAAAAAATCAGGTAACTTTAAGCCTCACTGCACAGAATCAGACCATCTGTTTTTATGGCTCACATTCAGGACACGTTACCGAATCATTCACATGTTCATTTCCTTGATTTCTTAAATGCATCAGTTAAAATCCCCAGGCAGGACACTGTGAGTAAGCACAGGACTCAGCAGGGTGTTCCGTAGACCGCAGGTAAGTTTCAGCAGTTCCACGCTCGATGTTTCTCCTCTAAAGGCTAAAGCTATGCTCTTGCCGAAGGTGCGTAACCCATTTCTTTGAGATTAGATTCCAACAAACAAACTCCAATTGAGGGCCATTCTATAAAACAACTGGCCCCCTTAAAAAGGCCATCCAGAAAGACAAAGAGAAGCTGAGGAATTGTTTCCAGGTAAAGACAACTGAAGAGAACTGACAACTAATCAGTGTCACAGACGGAGTCCTGGGTCGGAGGGGAGTGTACTACAAACCACTAACGAAGATTCTCTGCTTGACCAAACTTTAGTCTGACTCCCCTGAGCCCAACTCGCCCCATCCTGGGGCATGTCCGTCAAGAGCCCCACTTTAGCAAGAATCCCACTGAGTCGGTTTAACCAGAATCCCCCACTACCCACATCTGATCCTCCTTGACAACCGACCAAACTCCTCACTGCCCAGCTGTCCCCCAGCTGACGTCTACCCAGCAGGAATCCTATGGTCCTTGGCAGAAGCCACCCCTCCCAACCCCGCCCCATCGCTATGCTTCCACTGGGATTCTTCCAGCCACCGGCACTGCCCCACGCCCAGCTCCTCGGCTGTCTACCCCGACTTTTCCTGTTGTATTTGGGATCCAGCCCAGTTCTATACCGACGTCCCTATTCTCCTACTGCGACAGTCCCTGAGTAAAATCTGGGTTCACGCCCATACTGCTGGCAGTCTTCAACAGCACTATACTATTGAGGTACGACTAGCAAAATCTGAAGATGGGTTGTCTAAGGATATTTTATCAATGCTGATGTTTCTGAATTTGAGTTGCACCACAGTTCTGTGGCGCAGGGGTTGGCAAACTTTTTCTGTAACAGGGCCAGATAGTAAACATTTTAGGCAAAAAAGGCCATAGTTTCTGTCACATATTCTCTGATGTTTTTGTTTTTTACAACTCTTTAAAAATGTAAAAACCAAAACAACAATCATAATCATAGCAATCATAAACACATTTTTAAAAATACAAATAAAAATGTAAAAACCATTCTTGGCTCAAGAGCTGCACAAAGCAGGCTAAGGGCTGAATCTGGCTAGTAAGCCATAGTCTGCCAACCCCTGATATACGAATACCCTTGCTCTCAGGAAGTATACAATGAAGGACATAAGAGTAAAGGGTCACAATGTCTGCAACTGACTCTCAAATGATTCATAAATAATAATAATAATGACAACAAATGAGAACAACAAAATACACGGTCAAATGTTCACAACTGATAAATCTAGGCGAAGGGAGTTCATCATACCATGCTTGCAACTCTCCACTGAACCTGAGTTTCATCACAATAAAAGGCTACTATTTACCACCAAAAGGGCAGAGACGTCCATGGGGGTTGAAACCTGGACACCTCAATGTGCAGACACGGGGCACAATTCTGGTGGCTCAAGCAGGAGAGAACGAGAACTCTCACGAAGCAAGAGGTATTCTGTCACCAAGGTCATTTCGATACGTACCCATGTGTCCAGAGGTATCTAGATTCTCCGGTCATCACCAGCAAACTCCGACGAGGCAACATGACCGGCACTGTGACACCATCTGGGTGCTTAAAGTCCATGACAATCTTAAAGGAAAGACGAAAGCATAAAGACGAATCCAAAATGCAATGTATTCCAAGGACAAAAATGATTAATTGATTCTGGCTATCTTTCTAGGTTAACAGAGATTAAAACACGATAATGCTTATAGAAGAGCATAGCACAGGGGTCCTCAAACTTGAGAGCACATAAGAATCAACTGAATGGGGCGCCTGAGTGGCTCAGTCGGTTAAGCGTCCGACTCTTGATTTTGGCTCAGGTCATGTTCTCAGGGTCCTGGGACCGAGGCCCACAACGGGCTCTGCGCTCGGCATGCGGTCTTCTTGAGATTCTCTCTCCCTCTGCCCCTCCTCCTGTACTCTCTCTCTCTAAAATAATAAACAGGGCACCTGGGTGGCTCAGTTGGTTAAGCGACTGCCTTCAGCTCAGGTCATGATCCCGGAGTCCCGCATGGGGCTCCCTGCTCAGCGGGACTCTGCTTCTCCCTTTGACCCTCCCCCCTCTCATGCTCTCTCTCTCTCTCTCATTCTCTCTCTCAAATAAATAAATAAATAAAATCTTTAAAAAAATAATAAACAAAATAAATCCTTAAAAAAAACCAACTGAATGACTAAAAAACATACTTCATCCATAGGTTCAAACTCAGCAGGTCTAGGATGAGGCTCAAGAGTCTGCATTTGTAACAATGGCCCCAGGAAATTATGATGCAGGTGGTTTGAGGACCATACATACAATGCAAAACACTAGGGCAGTGGGCAAATGCTAGGACTTGGAGCTGAAACACTCATATCCTGAGTCTTCCATTTGCTAGCCACCTGACCCAGGACAAGCCACTTAACCCCTCTGTGCCTCAGCATCCTCAGCCCCTTACCCCTCTGGTAACCAACCAGAGGCTGGTTACCTGAATTAAATATACAATGGTTATAAATCACAGTATCTGACACACAATACAAAAAACAGCAGCTATAATTACTCACAGGATATTAAAAATTAATGAATAACCACCCCAACAACCATTAGATGCCTATTCTCATATAACCCATTTTGCCTTTAAAGTCACTCAACATTTGGGATATTAAAGGCTAATTTATAGGAGATAATCAAAGAACACAGGAACATTTTCAGCAACTCTTCCTAAGTTGTGCTCAAATATTATTATGGATAACAACCTATAAAGATACAACACCCAAGAAACTGTTTTTGTCCTCAGGAACCTAAACACCAAAGAGTTCAGTCTAAATGTAGCAGCAGCTGACAACTGTGAATTCAAAAGGCATGCCACAGGGCTAAAAAACATTTTAAAGTGAACAAATCAATCCACTTGAAAAATAAATACAACAACCAAGTATCAGTGGGATGAGCAGACTTTAGTATCTTTGTTTTTTGCTTTTTTTTTTTTTAAGATTTTATTTTTTGACAGAGAGACACAGCGAGAGAGGAAACACAAGCAGGGGGAGTGGGAGAGGGAGAAGCAGGCTTCCCGCAGAGCAGGGAGCCCGATGCGGGGCTCTGTCCCAGGACCCTGGGACCATGACCTGAGCTGAAGGCAGACGCTTAACGACTGAGCTACCCAGGTGCCCCTTTAGTATCTTTGTTAAAGGTTAACTGTTAGCATGGTCTCTGGCATAGTAACTGTTAGCTACTATCAGCAATATCATTGGTCCAAATTAGGTAACAGACATGAGAATTCTTCGTGAACCACAAAGAATTATACAGATCTAAGCTGTTTTCTTCCCTTGGAAGTATGGAAAATAAAGTAAGATAACATAACAATTATCTTTTCCAAATGATCACATATAATTTCAAATAACCAGGTTCTAAAAACATTCTATTGATAAACACTGCAGATAAATTCCGAAGTTGTGGGGGTAAAGTGTATGGATACCCACAACGTCCCAAAATGTATAAGTAAAATATACCAAAAGATGGTGGACAAATAGATAGATATTTGATAAAGCAAATATATTAAAACGTTAACTACAGAATCTAGGTGGTGGGTATGTAGGTATTGGCTGTACAATTCTTTCAACTTTTTTTCTTAATATTTTATTTATTTATTTGACAGAGAGAAAGAGCGTGCACAAGCAGGGAGCGGCTGGCAGGAGAGAGAGAGAAGCAGGCTCCCCGCTGAGCAGGGAGCCTGGTGTGGGACTCGATCCCAGGACCCCCAACTTAACCAACTGAGCCACCCAGGCACCCCCTTTTTCATCTTTTCTATATGAAAATTTTCATACTGAAAAGTTGGAGAGAGGGGAGAAAAACCCACTGTGACCCAGTTTTAAACCAATACATACAGGTTTCAATTTTCTGAAGAAACACTAAGGTCTACATAGGAAATAATGAGCTTCGTGAGAGTTCTCATTCTCTCCTGCTTGAGCCACCAGAATTGTGTCCCATGTCTGCACATTTCCTCCCATCAACAGAGAGTAATGATTTTTAAATAGGGAAATCTCAGTTTAAACAAATGATTAGAACTAACAAGACAAGATGGACGTGACACTAATTAATTTGGAAATACTTGTCCTGAATACAGAAGCCAAGTTTCAAGGAAGAAAAATATACTACCAACTAAGCCAAATATTATGGGACTTAGGTTAGAAAATATCTACAATACTTATTATTACCCTTGATGACCATTACTCGTTTGCTAGAGACGCTCACAGAACTCAGGAAAACAGTTTACTCACTGTTGACCAGTTTATTATAAAATTATATGATAGAGGATACAGACGAACATCCAGATGGAAGAGATGCATAGGGCAGGGATGTGAGAAGGGGCCCGGAGCGTCCCTGACCTCCGTGGGTACGTCCCTCTCCTAGGACTGCCACGTGTTCGTTCATCAACCTGGATGGTCTCTGAACCCCATACTACTGGGATTCTTATGGAGGCCTCATCACATAGGCATGATCAATCATTAACTCCATTTCCAGTCCCACTCCCGTCTGGAGACTAGGGACAGGGCTGGAAGTTCCACGCTTCTAACCACGGCTTGGGCTTTCTGGTGAGCAGCGCTCATCCAGGAGCCCACCATGAGTCATCTCGTTAGAACAAAAGACACTGCCATCCCCCAGGATATTCCCAGGGATTCAGGTACTCTGTGTCAGGAGCCCAGGTGAGTGACCAAACATTAGAACAAAAAATGTTCCTACCACTCCTATCGCTTAGGAAATTTACAAGTGTTTCAGGAGTTCTGTGCCAGGAACTGGGGACAAAGACCAATATATATGTTTTCTATTATCTCACAGGTATCTAATGTGAGAGTACAGTTTTTTTAGTTTAAGAAAGTAATTTTTACTTACAAAATTAAGTTACATTTTCAATGAAAACTAAATTTTTCTTAAAACAGTCCATCATAAAATATTGTCCCTATCATTATATTTATTTTTTAAAGGTTTTTATTTATTTGTCAGACAGAGAGAGAGAGAGAGAGAGAGAGCGCACAAACAGGGGGAGCCGCAGAGACAGAGGGAGAAGCAGGCTTCCCGCTGAGCAGGGAGCCGGATGCGGAGCTCAATCCCAGGATCCTGAGATCATGACCTGAGCCGAAGGCAGATGCTTAATGACTAAGCCACCCAGGCATCCCTCACTATCATCATATTTAAAGTATCTTTATCTCAACTAAACAACGCTTAAGATAAAAAAAAAAAGGGGGGGGTGGGGGGATGGGTTAGCCTGGTGATGGGTATTGAGGAGGGCACGTTTTGCATGGTGCACTGGGTGTTATGAACAAACAATGAATCATGGAACACTGCATCAAAAACTAATGATGTAATATATGGTGATTAACATAACAATAAAAAAAATAAAAAAAAATTAAAAAAAAAGGGGGGGGAAGAGAAAAGAAGACTTTTTAAAAAATTCACAAAGGATTCACAATCAATAATGTCCCCTGCAACTCCTGAATCATTCTGCCATGTGACAGCTTTGTTCCACAGGACATTTTTCCAATTACTCTTTTTGGTTTTACCTATTCTCCTTATTTTCCGAGATGGCAGAGTCAATAAGGATCAAGGTCCCAGCAAGCTTGCGGGGCATGACTGAGGATAACATTCAGTTCAAAGCAAGCAAACAAAAAATCTTAGACTTTCTGATCTTACAAAACCTTGGCGCATCCAAAGTACAACTGAGTAAAAACCCCAGACACAGCCATCACTCTACCACTCAAGTGAAGAGAAGATTCAAGACAGCAAAGTACATGAACAGATCTCCGAGTCAGCTCAACGGGAAGATGGAGAGTACGCTGTTACTGGCGGCACCTCGGATAAGAACACAAACTCAACGTGGATCCTTACTGGCCAGAAAGGGGCTGAGATGGTCAGCCTCCTGAAACCCGAAAGGGCGTATACACAGGAGACAACACGACGTGAGGCAGGACGTGTGGTCCACAGAGAATGACGAATGCCAAAAGGGTGGCGGTCTCTCCGACTGAAGAAAGTAGTCACAGCCGAGAAGGGGGCAGAAGAGACAGCAGCCCACGTGTCTCCCACAGCCTGCCGAATCTAAGTCCTCTGTAGTCGTACTGATGCTGTCATGGACCCAAACGTACTAAGAATTTGCTTTTTATTGGAAACAGCAAATGGGTGATTGCACAGGCTTCCTGACGGCCATGGCTACCGTGTGTGGACAAGCGGGGAAGGAGAGAAGGAGACCCACTCACGACCGCATGTGGACAAGACTGAAGCTACAAACTGTTGACAAAGAAACACGGGTACGTCAACAATGCCTGTTTACATCCTCCCCTTGGGTCACCAATACAGAACCCCAGCATATCACCAGATCATCAGTCCACCTGGGGGAGACGAGGAACTGAAGACATTTTTAGTAAAACAAACACAATTTTCTGTCTCTCTACAAAGAAATGACAGCCCTAGAAGTCTACTTTGGCTAGCTGAGGAGTAGCTGGGAGAGAGGCCTGCTGAGAGGCCGTATTATTCCAGGGCAGACGCCCGAACAGGAGTTTTGTCTGGGACACGCTGGAGACCAGCAGCTGATGTCAACGACCTTTCAATCTCCTCCTGTGTAAGC